TTTCTTTCTTTCTTTCTTTCTTTCTTTCTTTCTTTCTTTCTTTCTTTCTTTCTTTCTTTATCAGTGTTGACTCCTGGCAACTGCCTGAGCAAGTCCCTGCAGTTTTCTTGGCAAGGTTTTTCAGAAGTGGTTTGCCATTGCCTGCTTCCCAGGCCTGAGAGAAAGTGATTGGCCCAAGGTCACCCAGCTGGCTTCATGCCTGAGGCATACTCCATCATAGCCACCTTGAAAACAAACAGAACATGCTCTTACTTCCCTCTTGCCATGAAACATATATATTGGCTTTGGCCACAGCCCTCTTGATTTTCAAAGGTATAGATTAGATAGTCCTTATCACACCTTGCTTTTCAAATATTTGCTTCCATGGGAACTGAGAGGGCTAGCCCCTGCATCTACTTATTTATAGGTAATTGGCCTCATTCTTGAGCAAGAGAGATTCCCCAACATCACTTCTGCAGTGAAGCTCTGCTGATTGTCAGGTAAGAAACAACAGGAGACAAGTGGGCTGTGTGCTGTGTGGCTCTGGAGAGAGGGCAGGGGAGTAGGGACATAATGCCCCCCCCCCATGTTCATTTCAAAAACAAAAAAGCCTTAATGCTAGCAGAGGTGGGAAGCCAGCAAGGCATGGTGGCATCTCCCTGCTCCACGCAAAGGCTTTTATCAGCTTGGGGGCCAGAAGTTGTGGAACTGCCTATGGTTCAGTGAACTCTAAGCCCATCTTCTTCTGGAGGGTTAGGAGCGTGGTCTGGAGCAGGTGAGGAGAGCAGAAAAGGAGTGGCTTATGAGGGGTGGTACTGCTATAACACACGTTTCTGGTAGGAGCCAGTCTGGAGGGGTTCTGTGTAAACATGAGATGGCAAACTCCCTCTCTTCCAGTGACTCCCCTTCAGCCTTGGAGAATATGGAGGAGACCTCTGATTCCCAGGAAGTCATACCTGTTGGGGTGATCTAGTACATTCCCCTGTTGGGTGTAGGATTTGCAACAGCTTCTGTGGCAGGTGACCATCCAGCCTCTGTTTGAAGAAGACGCCACCTCATATGGCAGCCTGTTCCACTGACTGACAGCTCATACAGTCATGAAATTCCTCCTGATTTCTAGCCTGAACTTTCCTTGTAATTTTAATACTCTGGGGCAATGAAGATTATCTCCATTTACTTTTCCATTTCACAAACCTCCAAGACATTTGAAGACGGCTGTTGTATCTCCCCTCTTGTGGTTGACAAGGACCCCAAACCTTTCACATGGATTACTGCCAAGCCAGGTCTCCCCACTCAGGACTTGTGCCTTTCCTCCCCAGATTCCCAACTGAACATTTCTCCTTGCTCAATTCCAGTCTACTTATTTCAGCCTGCTGCTCAAGCCTGTCTAGATCGTGTTGGATCTTCTGTCTTTCCTCTAAAGTCTTAGTCACCCCTCCCAGTTTTATGTCCTCTGCAATTTTATAAGTGACCCTTCAGTACCCTCATCCAGGTCACTGCTAAAAAGTTTGAACAGCTCAGGATCGAACCCTGTGGCCCTCCACTTGATGTTTCCCTCCAAGCTGAAGGGGAGCCATTAATAAGCCCTTTTTGGGTGCAGCCATTCAGCCAACTCTGAGTCCATCTAACAATGACATCATCTAGTTCAGTGTTTCTCAACCATGGCAACTTGAAGACGTGTGGACTTCAACTCAGAATTCCCCAGCCAGCTGTCCACACGTCTTCAAGTTGCCAAGGTTGAGAATCTAGACCATATTTTACCATTTTGCGAAGAAGAATATCATGACATGTTGCTGAGGCCCAGGTACACTGTGTCCATGGCATTCCTCCATCCCCATGCAAATTGCAAAGGAGCCAAAGGCAGAGAATTGACTGGCCACCGGGATTTTAGAAATGTAATAATAAATGAATAACTGCATAAATGGCTGGGTGCTGATCTTCTTTTAAATGTCGAGGCTTTGGCAGGACATGCGTGAAATTAAAGCAGGGTTTTTAAGCCATGGATCTTGACTGAGTCCACTGATTTCCCAAACAAAGGGATTAAAAAAGATTGGCAGGATTTTGCAACATCTGGGTTCTCAAATGAGATTGCAGTCACTTCATTCATGTGTGTGTATCTGTGTCCCCATAGGGGGATGGATTTGCTTCTGGTGTAGCAGGGTGCGTGTGCAATCATTGCAGCAAGTGTGATCCTGCTGTGCCACATGGACTGAGTTCACAGATTGTGCTAAATCAGAAGCAAACCTTTATGGTTTCCTGGGATGTGTGAAGGTGATGATTCCATGTCTACGTCCTGCAAAAATAACGATACACAATACAGTACATTATCCTAAAACACTACATGAACCAACTCCAAAACAGAGAGAGGATGAGGAGAAAGGAAGTGGAGAGCTGGTTCAGGGGAGGGCAGAGGCACCTCCTTCTTGCACTGCGACCACTCTGTGGCTGACTAGATGACCGAGGCCCCAAGAGAGAGCAGAACTTTGCTAGGCTTGTGAGCTTCGGCTGAGAAGAATAGAGACTTTTCTTTTTCTGTCATGGATGACTTGTGTAGGTTGACTTTGGAGAGAATAGGGGCATTCCATGGATGAGTCTCATCCTACCTCAAATGTTTCTTAATTAGGTACATTTGGAGTCTATGTTACCAATAAGCTTCATTTAAGGAAGCATCTTTTGAATTTGTTAATGCATGCGTGGGTCTTTTGTCTGACAATGTAGTTTTTCTTTAAGTTTCATTCTTGCTTCTGCTATTTCACTGTCATGAACATATGGCCTTTTTCAGCAGCAGACAATGGAGGCCTTGCCTCTCAAGATGATCCTGGTGCTTTATCTGTTGGGGATGTTCTCAGGAGGCTTCCAGGTATGAAGGTTGCATGAAGGTTGGGGAGCAGAGACAAGGACTTGCCCTCTGGAACTCAGGTCATACTTTCACGTCTGCAGGGAGCCTGATGGTGGGGTTAAATAAGCACGTCCCCAGAGGTCAGGAGAACAAAATCCAGCAGCTGAAAAGCTACCCCATTGTCTAACCCCTTTTTTCCACAGCTGGGCTCACAGATTCTGCTTCTCCTTTGCTCCTCCGTGGAGCACTGGTTCCCCAGTGGTGAAGGCTTTGGGCCGCAAAACAAAGTCCTCCCCCCACCAAACTGGAAAGACCTTTGCTCTGATCCAAGAGAGCTTTTCTTAAGGGCTTGTTTGTGGATCAGAACCGATCACTGTATTTCAGCCCTAAAGCCCACCCATTATTCCTTACAGCCTTAAGGAATAAAGCAACGGTTTTGGCTTGTGCTTTTCATCAGAAACCCACAGAAATTGGACAAGGGAGGACAGGGGTAGAACTTGCTCCACGAGCTTCTCAAGGGAGCGTCTGTCTTCTCACCGACTGATCACCCATCAGAGGCACCAGACTGGACAGCTCTGCTTTACAAACCACAATTCTATTTTTTTGTTCTGTTTAAAATAGAAGAACCCCTTGGCTACCTTATAATGACAGCTGGACCCCCATTCCTGCCCCCCTCCCCACAGTTATTACCTCATATTTCCTGAGGAAGAACAGAAAGTCAGCCAGATG